TTTTTTTTTTTTTTTTTTTTTTTTTTTTTTTTTTTTTTTTTTTTTTTTTTTTTATTTTTTGGGGGGGGGAAGCAACTGTATTTACACCGGATATTTTCATCCTTGCAGGCTGCCAACTGATAGGAATTGCGCTTCCTGACAAGGGCCTGGAGCAACCTAAGACAACTAAAACGGTGTATTATTTCAATCTACATTTTACATTGCATTAAAATGTTGTCGGAAACCCCACTTAATTAGTGCATACTTATAGTTATCAGAATAACGCTCGGATTTTATAACAATTATGTACGGATAAGGTCGAAAAGACCCGATCTGCAGTTATGTACACGAAACATAATCCATCTAAATTTCATTTTCCGAGTAACGTGTTTGTTGTAGCTGTCAGTGTAAAAATATCACACATGATCGACTGACCAGTGGTATATGCATATGCCAGATGTAAAACCCGATATCCTACGAGGTGAGGTGTGATTTAGGTGATTTATGGAAGGGTAAAAAGGCATTGCGTTTTTGCACTGGTTCTTTGCAATCTGATGTGTCAAATACCGTCGCATAGTAGACCTATCCCTTTTCAACTTCCGCGTTTGATTTTGATTTGATTTTTCTTTCTCGTTTGGCACTTTTGTGACTTTTGGTCTTGTCCCTATGTATACCCTTGAAAAGCATCTCCTTTTTATTTGTGTTGTTGGGTTTCTTGTTTTTCTTTCTATCCTCTTTTTCTTTCTTTCTTTTCTTTGTACCCTTTTTTTTTATATCTCTCTCTCTTTATGCTATGGTATGCCCACTCTTCTGATACAGAAGGAATGTTAGGTCAAACACGTTAAAAAGTTCTGCAACCTTTTCTTGCAACAAGGGGTGTACAACTAAGGGAATCATTACATATATAGCGCCATATACACCTATAATAATACCCAAATAGATAGATATATATATAAATAGAAGACGTGACGTGTGAGGAATCAACACACAGCTAATTAACAAACATCCAACTTGTGTGGCTAGGTGGTATTGATGAAGGGCAAGTCGTCCTGATGGCATGAAGGTTATTAGACATGTTTTTACTCTTCTCTCGCAGAGAAAATACAGGGGTTTTAGTTTGAAATGTTAGCGGCGTCTTTAACTTGGCACTTACTCAGTTAGTGAAGTTACTGATATTTTGAGGTCGGCAATTACTGAAATTTTGTTTTAATGGAGAAATTATAGTACCTGAATTACTCTTTGACTTAATGAACTCTCTTTTCTAAAACTTCCCCGTCTATCGCACCACTTTCGTCTATTACGCGGTGGGCGCGTTTATTTTAAGACAACCCTTGTAAGTCGACCTCATTAACTCACACCCCTGCACTAGCTTGTGTAGGACACTTGCACCCATTACAATTTGAACCAATTTGTCATTGTTTTGCAGTCGAAATTTAAGACATCACCTTCCCAGGTATTCCTCATAGAAAATGACACACTTAAGACGCACTGAATGTGTATTTCCAGATCTTATAAATACAAAATAGAACAGAATAAAATAAAAGCGTTTGCGTTAATAGCGACCTTTACAGCTAAAAAGGTGATCTATTGAATCAAACAAGGTTATCCACTGAATCGGTAGAAGTGCAAGGGACCCGAGTTCAGAGATTATTTGAAACTAAAATTTGTCAA